GTTTTGAGCAGTTTTAAAGATAGACAAACCGAGAAAAACTCATGCGTGTTTGTGCTGACAGCGCTATGCACTGCATTTACTTCAACCACTCGGTTAAAAAAAAAAAAGGAAAAGAAAAACGACTCACTCCCCGAGCCGACCAGGAAGCAGAGTTTTATAAATATAGTCAAACCGTGAAAAACTCATGAATGGAGATAAACAGAYATAACAGATAAACAGGCACGGAGGAATCTGAAGCTGTGGAGCTTTTTAACCAGGACWGATGYGGATAAAAATACGTCGGGCGAGTGACTTTTTTTCTGCATTGTTGTTGAGGGGAGAAAYTCCATGCAGTGACGTATGTTTCAGCGGGAGGGAGGGGTTCCCCCGAGCTCGTCGGCGCAGTGTGCAGGAACTATGAAAGGTCTGTGCGAAAACGATTGCAACCACGTGACCGCGCGTCGACCTGTCGGCGTCGGAGCGAGTATGTTTCCACCTTTAACTGTCTGCAGAGCTCCTAACATTAGTTCTCACTCAGTGAAGCTCTTTTCAGATTAAAAATACCTTTGAGGAAATGTATTTTCAGAAGTMAAGTAAACTGCATCATAGCGCACGCGCAAACCCCCTGAAAACTGAAGCTTWAAGCGTTTTGACTCACAAATCCGTGTTACTTCAGTAATAAAAATTGAAATATTCAACTGCAAAGTAGTCAGATACTGCATGATTATTGTTTTTACCTCATGCGATAGTGCAGCTTGATGGTTGTTTCGTCGGTGATGTTGAACTTGTGGCTGGGAGCATACCAAGTGCCAGTTTTCTCATCGTACAGGGCGAACAGGTTAAAGCACAGCGGAGAGATGGCTGAGAGAAAGACATTAAAAGATCGAGATTCTGTCAGATCTCTACAGTAAAATAGCAGCCATTTGCAGCTCTTTAACAGAGAGTACTTGTTTATTGTYAGCCAGTCATTTTACTCTAAACCCAATGACGACATCTATCAAGAATCCAACTGTTCTTCTAAATTCATATAACAATCGTGTACGCTTCACTGCAGAAAACTACCCAGAAAACAGGTTCGGTTACTTACTGCACTTCTTTGCAGCAGCCACACAGAGCTCCTCGGCGGTGTAACACCCTTTAGAGTACTCCAGTTTTGCWAAGTCTGTAACGTAAAAGTGAATCTCCAGGCCCGAAGTGGAAGGAGGAGGAGAGGAAAGCTGGGCCTTTCGGCTTTTCCTCATCTTCATACAGAGTTGCCGACTCAACTCCATCATCCAGAAAGTTGGCATTCAGATACTGGATCAGTAAAATGAGGGTGGAAAAAAAACAGAGAAGGATATTTAATAAAACACTTGTATTTAAACTTTTTAGTGCAAAATGAATTTCAGGTTTCAAACTCTGCATTGGTATTTTATCCTGGCTGAACAAAGCCAGAACATTTTAAATTTACACCCTATTTTAAACACTTAGCAAAAGCAAAACCTACATGAATGCTCTTAKTTCAACACATGACTTTATTTACACTTTAGTGGCCTTTCTTTTTACGTATTTATACCTATCTTTTAATACCAGCTCTAATATCCATTATCCCTAAAATGGATTCTTCTCAATACATCAAGTATTCTTCAAAAACAGGTCTAAGGAGGCCACTGCCCCTCAGTCCTAAAAAGGACACATTATCCAACCCACAAAGGAGCAAACAGAGGGGGTAGAACCAAGTGAGGAATGTAGGACTGTGCCAAGTTTTAGAGCACGATCCCTCTGCTGCAAAACGTTAATTTCCACAGAAAAATATGATTTGATGACCCAAAAACAAGAGCTGAGAAAGGGCTTGGAGCGGTCATGAAATTGTAAATAGTCTCTCCCTCAATTAGGGATGGCAACATACTGAATATACTGGTGCAATTAAAATGTAACAGCTGAAAAGCCTACCAAAGATAACTGCGAGAATGAGTGATGTGAMGCACAAACGCATAGATGACACCAGAGTGATTCAAATAGTGGTTTATAAAGTCTCATCATGGCCCCTGTAAGCCCACACGTTTCTTAAACATAACTCAGTGTCACTGAACAAACATCGATAATCAATTACCTTCTCACTAATTATCTTCTAGTCAGTTGATTTCAGAGCTTACGTGGAACAAATACAAAATAAAAACAGAAGCTACAAAATACAGAAGTGCACTATCATCCATACATCTATACAGAAAAATCACCCTTTTTTCCATTTAGTGAGATCACTGCTGTCCTTTTATTTGTCCTTACCGACATAAATATTCAAGACATAAATTGTTATTTTTGTCCCACACTAAATTAAACTAWTTTTTTTAAATTCTGTGCCATGAGAACCAGTATTACAAACAGTATGGACACTATTATCAAGCAGGTTACATTTCCTACAGCCGAATTTCTCTGGAAGGTTTCAGTGAGTCATCATCTCTGCCTCAGAGTTAGTCAACGCAGCAGCCTGTCTCAACTCTCCTCTTTCTGCGTGAATGAAACAAAACCCTTCTGAGAGTCTCTCGCAGTTTGATTAAACATATAAAAGCCTTTATTAATGTGTGTGCAATAAAGCCATCTTTGACAAAATAAACATATCTGTCGTCAGTTCAACCAGATGTGTTGCAGTGACTAAAAGATGGTCGTGACTGAAGCTGTGGTTTGTAGGAAAGCCAAATGTTTCCATAAGTTCAAGTAAATAAACAGAAGAGCCTGTCGGGATCCATTACAGTGTATGACTACTAGACAATGACATCAGTTGTGTGGGTTTTCAGATGTGGATTAAAAGGTTCAACAAAAGACAGTCAGATATCTCATTACTGGGATTACRCACAAGCCAGCATATATTTTTTATTACTGTGCAAGTGTTACAGATTCTACAGTGACTCAAGCCCACATCKTCTCCAAATCGATGCTGAACTAATTGAAACAATTGATTTAAGTGTCAGTGATGTCACTGCTACATCACAGAGACAACGGTTAAAAGGACGATGAGGGCAAACGCTCAGTGTTGCGATAAAAAAAACAGTTTTAAATTCTTTAGAAAAATCATGGCCACCGCATCCTCCGCAACATCCTCTCAACCGCATGTGTCAAACTCGAGGCCTGCGGGCCAGATCTGGCCCTCATTAAAGTTTTATCCTGCCCCAAATACATTAAATGTGAAATTAGGGCTCTAGAGCGCGACCAAATAGAAGACCAAATCTCTTTTTTTTTTTTTCAAAGTCTGAAAAACATTTTTTTCTTGTTAACTGTGGAGATGAAAAGATGTGGATCGTTGCTCGCTCTTAAGTCCATCTTGTTAATTTAACAGTCAGGTTGTGCTCTGTGAGCAGCAGATCATTTCAGAGGACGAGGAAGCTCACGTGTATGGCAGGCACCTGTTACACTTAATCGGTTTCACCACAGTTACATTCCACGTATCTAAAACAGGTTCTTCTGGGTCTCAGGAGGATAAAACTAGACATATTAGGTATTTAAGTGAAATAATATAATAAGATTCAACTAATGATGAAATTGCAGACTTTTATGTGTTATTATTATTTTTAAAAATCTGCACAACCTTTTATTAAATATCAGTAATATTTCTGTTATTAATCATTATTCTCTGTTCATCATTCTGGTTTATCCAAGGCCAAAGATCCAGAGGGTCAAACTACAGGAGTTGTCCATCTGAGGGACGTGTCTAAAAAAAATTAACCATGAAATGTTTAATATGTTTATAAGACATTCAGCCTTTAAACATATGCACTTAATTTTATAGAATCACTTTAATTACTTTTCAGTAAGTTAAATGTCTACAATTCTGGTTCAAATAAAAAACTTCATGTTTACTAGATTGTTAACCAATTATTTTCGAGTTAATGTTGCCTTAATGAACAGTGATTTAAAAAATAACCTGTAAAACTCTGATGTTTAATGGGACGTGGTTGAAAATTTGGGTGCACCTAACTTTTGTGCTGGTGCGCCTAAGAAAAAAACGTTAGGCGCACCGGTTCAGCCAGTGCAAACAGTTAGTCTAGAGCCCTGGAAATTGTTTCATGGTTTCTCTTTTTGACACCACATTTGGTGCAGGAGAACCTCATGACAAGTGGCCAACTTTCAAACCAAAAAAAAATTTTTTTTTTCCAGCAAGCTTTGATTTCAATGTGGAAAGAACCACAGATAATCATCTTTAATCAGTTTTGGTTGTATC